AATTATCTAGTAGTTACTTTGGTCACCGCCAAAATGACCAATTTGATAATGAATTAATAGACCAGAATGTGATAAGAATATTGTAACCACGAACTATGATATTATACAGGATACAGGAATACGGTCTTAGACCATGTACATCGTTGCACTCATATGTTTACTTTTACTATTAATTTACTTATAAACGCAATTATAATTTCACTATCACAAATCAAGATACGAATATAACGTATGATAACAATTTAATACCTCGATTATAGATACTATGGTTCAGTGGAAGGTAGGCAAATGATGACCAGTCCGTGAGAAATGTTATCTTCGCGGCCTATATCACGGCCTTTACATCATTGCCACGGCCCATTTTGTCGGGAAAAAAAGGCAGCTTTAAAACCGCACATATTTTAGTACCTATCATTGTTAGGTACGTGACCAAACGTGTTTCGTAAAACGCGTGTGAGTTCGTAAGTAGACTTTAATAGTATAAATTAACCTGAAAATATGCCGTAGCAGGGACACTATACGAATGTATCATACGAGTACATCATAAGCATTTATATACATAATACCCTATAGACTATCGTCTCATTTATGTACGTGAGAAACAAACTAGGCCTAAGTTTGTGATATACCTAAAAGTGCGTAGCAGCAGGTGTACCATAATAATATTTAATAATATTATTACGTCTGAAAAGTCGTGTTAACGCGCTCGGGTGATCAATTTTTGTATATTTATGTGTATTTGATACTGTACGTATTAGACGGCGAACGTGTATCGTCGTTACGTCTTTTACGTGCCCGGCCGCTTCTCGCGAAAACCGTGTGTATCCGAACTAATCATCGTTCTCACGCACAACCTAATTAATTCAGAGATACGGCCAGATCGCGAGAACTACAGATAGCAACGCGACAAAAGAGAACGAGCATTTTATAATGTAACGCTACTAAAATCGGAGCCAAACCAAACGAACCCGCCGCGATCTAATGCAAACATCTTCACGTCACTCCGTATAACGATTATTTTTTTGGACTTTTACTTGACAAGACAAGAACTTTACTTGACAGCATTTTATTTATTGTGGTTAAAATATTTTTGAACAGTACATTATTTGGGTGTGTATTATTTTATGGAAATATTAATATTATCCGAATGATAATACTGGCAATTCTTAAGGTCGCAACTCAGTGAAAAACGAACCAAGTAACAGCCCAACAAAAAAACGTATGCGAGAAAGGACGTGAACACCGGCGGGACAGCCAACATCACCGCCTTTCTGTGATTCAATCATATTTTATGAAGTATTTTCAAAATTAAAATTAATTGTATTTTTATTGAGTATTTATGATTCAAAATATAATTTCAACAAATTTAAAATTATAATTTTAAGGGTCATTATATCATATTATATGAAAAATAATTTATTTCCTAATAATCGCAGAAGTAACAGACGATATTTCGAAACTTCAATAAACAATAAACACGTAAAATTAAAACAACATCAAGTAAAACAGGGTAAATTTACTTACTTATAGATAAAGGTAATGAAATAAATTTAATTAAGATATAGGATGCATAAAAGAGGAAATATAGTAGATGAGAATGAAAAAATATATTTAAAGGGAATAATTGAAAATATCGTAGGAACAATAGGTGTGATTGTCATACCAGTAGAAATAAGTAGAATAGTATTTAATATGGAATTTAATTTAATTAAAAATAGTTTGCCAATATCATGAGATGGAATATTAAGACGATTATTTATGACAGATACAAAAATATTAAAAGATGTATCAAATGCAAAATTAGCACTAACAGACTTATAATAATAAGTTAGAAGAAATAGATGATAATTTAAAATATAACGAACAAATAAAATACGATAAAAATATTAGTTTTAATAAAATTAGAGATGAAAATAGTTTACCAAAAATTATTCTCGCAGATAATGATAAATAAACTACACTTGATACATCAGAGGAAGATTTCTGGTAGAAAAGTTTGCACAAACCGAGGGGTATTTTGCAAGTGAAATGGCCCGAACTAGCGATAACTGGGTCTCTAGGTACACCTAAAATGCATTTATTTTTTCTCTGTTTAGGTAAAGGGGAAAAAATAAGTGCAAAATATTTTTTTCGAAACACGGGTTTGAACTCGCGAGTTCGCAACCCCTAAGATGACAATAGCGGTGGCGTACCCCCCCCCCCTCCCGGTGGGTCGTATAATTATATGTTACAATATGTGTGCAATGTTATATTTTTAAAATTTTTAAGAATGGGTGAAAATATATTCCCCCCCCCCCCGTAAGAAAGGCCTAGGTATACCACTGGACAAAAGGTATGTATAACATTTCGGCTACGACAAACATACTCTAAAGAAAACAATATAAAGTTATGTAACATAACATATAATATCTACATAATATCAGAATTTCAAAAAACTATAATTTCGAAACTTAGTCAATCCGCTCAATTCTGACTTCAACATAGTTCTTAAATCGGCAATAAGCATATGTTCAAAATAAAAAAAAATTTTAAATTAGATTTGTTACACATAATTTTTTCCTCAAACGATTTTCATCAAAATTTGATATTGAAATTCCTTTATAAAAAAGAATGGTATATTAAACTTCATTTTTTTTTTTTTTTTACCACAAAGTAAGACTTTTAATACATCTTCTGTTAAATTTTCAAGCATTTCTGTTAAGTCTAAAAATTTTACCACAGAGTATACCGAATAAAAATTACGTTCAAAAATCGCAAAATTAAATAGTCTATAAATAGCTCAAAAATGACTTAAATTTTTTGAAAATTTTACCACATCTAGAAAATGCAAATATAAATTTTCTATCCAAATTTCAAGTCTCTATTTCATTCCACTCAGAATCTAAAATACAACTAGATAAATGTGAATTACTGAAAAGTAAATGTATATATTTAGAATACATTATAACCGAACACGATAAAAAACCAGACCAGAAAAAGATAAAAATCCCTTCTAGAATTTCCGATATCTAAAGACCTAAAAGGAATTAAATCACTTTTAGAATACTATTGAAAATGTATAGAATCGTAGAGTACAATAACGAAACCAATAACAGACTTATTAAAAAAATAAGTAATATTGAATAGAATGAAAAGATGTTTACTAGGAACTGTTATGACCTCACGTTCTGTATTATATCAGCACTATAATAATATATTATGCCTATTAAATAATTATTTTAATCATTTTTTACTTAATTATAATTATTATAATTAATATTATTATATTATATTAATTATATTAATAATTATAATTATTTTTAATTTATTTTAAATTAAAAACATTAAAATTTCAATGCAAATTTTGTGATTCGCAGTATAATTCTATATTCAGTTACAATAAAATTCTTAGGATTAAATATAAAAATATGCCTAAAAAAAAATACATATATTTTTGTAACAACTGTATAATTGATGTGTAATATTTGATTTAAAAGTAAATTTAATTTAACATGTAAGAACTCATTTAAATGATCAGCGTAACTTAAACATAGTCTATTAATTTACAAATTGTACCAAGCCATTTTTTACAATGACTGGATTAATTTAACATTTGGAAATATCTCATAATATTAACGTTGAGCTAACTCTGTTAAATTTTAATACTATTGAAGGTAATAATATAGAAGGATATACATTGTGTTTTATTTAATCTTATTAATTATTGTTAATATTTGAAATAAATAATTATTTAAAAACGACAATATCATACTGCCATATTGTCAATATTATTACACTGCTGATAACACAGAAACATCTATAGATTACAATGACGTCAAGGATATGGATCAGACAAAAAATGTTTACTCTATACAGAGACATTTGTCTTAAATCATGATGATAATATAATACGCTCTACAAAAAAAAAAAGATTTTCTTTTCTTATCAATAAATAAGTTTATCGAAGACTTTCGGGAACCCACAGACATATTAATAATTAATACACCTATGCGGAAATCACATTATATGTTCTTATCATAACTCGTTGCGTAAACAGTTAATAATATATAGTATGTATATTATATTATAATATTTATTTTGCGCCTTTTGTTGATATCAGATTGTGCGTCATTGCATATTTATTGCCTATCTAACGCCTTAATGCAGTTTTCACGCGTTTTGAGAGCCACTGGAGTCTCTTATCAAATATTGCTAGCGGAACATCCGTATTACATTCTTTAATCGTGCTACGGACTGTGTAGATATTAGATATACTAATATATCTTGGTCCGTGATTGTGCCGAGCACCGACCATCGAGCCCATAGATAATACCAGAATGGATAGGCCATTCCTATATTGATACAATAGGAGGCCGCGTTCCGAAATGCGAACGACAGTCTGCTTTTACAGCTCTCACTCACACAAGAGGTCTTATCATCGATTATATTTCACAATGATAACAACTCAACGTATTTGTATTTGAATTTTATTTATCAACACAATTTCTAGTAGATATTTCAATAAAATTTGATATTATTATTATCGTTTTTTTCACGAAATCCGAAAGATTAAAGATGACACAAAGGAAAATCGTACTAAAGGCTTAATTAACGAAGCTTATCCATTTCGGAACGAATAAATTTAGTGGAGTAATTATTATTATACCAAATTTTCATAAACCAGAGTTGTGATTTATATACATTTTTTTTTTTATAATAACGTATTATGTAGGTATATAATTAATTAGAATATAATTTGAATGTTTTTGTCAAAATATTAGTACATAATAAATAATGATTATATGCGATTATAAAGCGCTAATTAAGTTTAACCCACTAACTTAATTCATACTAAATAAAAGTAAAATGAGTAATGAACTATTAATTATTTTTGATCAAGTTTACAACTTTATTGATAAAACTCCTTGTAACCTAAAATTACAAAATTGTTTGTTCTCCTGTGATAAACTCTCATGGCTTATCCATTATTACATTATGTATGATCGAGACCCGCGTTTGTATTATGATCATACATATGGCATATTGTTAAACTTGGTGATATAATATGCAAATTTATATTATATTGGTAATAAACGTTAGGATTTCCACAATTTAAAACTGTCAAAAGATTTTTCGGACAGTAGAACAGTAGACAATCCGTGTATTGCATTGGATTTTAGTAAATTGAAAACGAAATAACAGGTATTAATTTTAAAATGTTTTTCTTTTATGTGATTATTTTCATTTTCACAGAAATTATTCTTAATGCTCATTACTGACAACTTATTATTACACGTAACCCTGCATCATTTATGTGTAATACAATTACAGTAAATACTGTGATAGTAGTATAACTGAAATGAATTGTATTTAACATTAATGTATTATATTTGATTAAAATACTACTAAAATTAATATTTTTGTTCTCAAACACATATTTTATAAAATTATTCAATATTATAGGTAAATTATTCATTTATAGTGCAATAACAAACATATTTATCCAAACTTGTAATTTGCCTACATAATATATAAACTACTGGTCTGATGTTTAATTATACAATTGGTGCATAATTAAGGACAGGTTTTATTATTATAATTTATTTAAATAGCTATTTTATTCTATTCACAGTATTCAACGACAAAAATTAAAGTAGATGTATCTATCATGGAAGGTGACAAAGTCTTTAAAAATTCTCTATTTAATTCAAAGTAAGCAAATGTATTAATTTTTATTGTCCTAGTCTTTATCCCAATTATTTGGGATCGAATATCCTATAGTTCTAAATTTCCACTTGACCTGTTCTCTCACATTCTCCTATCTTTTGTAAATACTGTTTCAATGTCTCCTATATTGCCAATAATTGCAATGAAATCTGATGTACAGTGTTTTTTTAAAAAAAAAATTTGAAAAGCTTTGTCGAAATTTGTGTAGAATGTCATATCAATTTGGGTGGGAGCGCAATAAGAATCATATAGGAAGCAAGTTAGAATTACGGTGCGTGTGGTAGTGGAACGACTAGGGGAGGAAAATAGGAAAGGAAAATCTTGTAAATAGAGCATTTGCCTGTAAATATAAAATAAATACCTCGTGAGATTTAATAAACATGTGTATTTTGCACATTTTTTAAATGTCTTAAAAAAAAATTATTCAAAATGTTTTTGTAGTTTGTTTAATTAACCTATTTATTTATAAATATATAAGAGATAATGAATTTTTTAATATTTTTTTAAGTATTGCATTGTGTTGTTTCTTATGTTTTTAGACCAATAAAGGAAGAATTTATTGATGACCTTACATCTTACAATTCTATTGATGATAATAAATCAATGCTAATAGAGTGAGTCTTGTGTTATTTAATGTTTTATTATTTACACATTTTTTTAAATATACCTATAGCCTTGTTTACAAGGTTCACTCTTGATGGTAGTTTTTGATGATTTAAAAATGAAAACAAATGTTTTACACAGTTCATTGATAATTATTCCATTTATCATTATGAATGTTTTTGGTTTTTTTTTTTATGATCACAAACCAACTTTCTTCATTGTGGATGGTTACTTTAAATAATTTTATGTTTACATTTTTTAATTTTTATTTCATTATGAATGATTCATCAAAAGTAAAGGTGTGCAAATGCGGCTCTTTTATAATCTCTAATGTTCCGCTGATCTTATTATGAATCTATGGGATAATATTAATCCAACAATTACCATTAATGACTATCAATTACCTAACATAGAAGGTAAACTTTTACTAAAAATTTTTTTTTTTGTTTGTTAACTTAATAAATAAATAATTTTTCCTCAAAATTATTATAATCATTCTTCTTGTAATTTGCTAATAATAATAATTTGAACATATTCTACAAATTGATGCCATATTGCATGTTACAAATGTAAACTTAGTGAACTAGCAGTTACACACCTGATAAAATTGATGCCATCCTACAAATAAAACAAAATTTACAATACACATATTCATATGTCATTATTAATTTACTTTCTATATTATAATTATCAACTTATAATCTACATCTGTTACCTACTCATTTAAACCTAGCTCTATGTATTTTATAGTGCCTACCTGATGTATGTTAACATATTAAAAAATGTAGTTGTATTATTATTACTTATAGCAAAGCTAAAACACCCTCCACCCACAGATTTTATTCTGATTAGTTCTGAAATTATATTTAGTTTAAGTACTTATTATTATGTATTTTTAATGGTGTAGTTAATATGATTATTATTATATTTTTCAGATACATTTTCAATTCTAAAGAAATAGAAGAAATAAATGCTCATATAAAAAAAGAAGTTGATTTTATTGATGATATTGTTTATGAGAGTCAGATTACTATCAAACATGATCCAATAGAATCAATTTTATATAAAGAATCACTATTTGAAGAAGAATATTTTACATGTGCTATTTGTATCAATTTATTTACTTCAAAATCGAGTTTAAAATGCCATATGAAAACTCATTTTGTCAAAAAACCATACCCATGTCAAGTATGTAATAAATCATATTCTACCTTATCTGTTTTACGAAATCATATGAACGTCCATAGTGAGAAAAAGTATCAATGTAAGACGTGTAAAAAGAAATTTTCTTTTTCATCCAATTTAATCAGACACAAAAGAACTAACAGTGGAGAAAGGCCTTACCAATGTGGCATATGTATGAAGAAATTTGCTCGAAAAGACCATTTAACAACTCATAAAATAAGTCATAGTGGAGAAAGACCTCACCAATGTGTTATGTGTATGAAGACATTTACTCGAAAAGACCATTTAAATTTTCATAAAAGAACTCATAGCACGGAAAGACCTCACCAATGCAACATGTGTAAAAAAACATTTTCTCAGTTATCCCATTTAAACACCCATATAAGTACTCGCTGTGGGGAAAGAAATTATGAATGTGATGTGTGTAAAAAGAAATTTCCAGTTATTCCATTTAATCAGACATGAAAAATCTCATATCAGGAAACGACATCATGAATGTGATATGTGTAATAAATCATTTTCTCATACATATAATTTAAACGTCCATAAAAGAATTCATAGTGGAAAAAAGCCTTACCAGTGTAACATATGTGTGCAAACATTTACTCAGACATCTCAGTTAATCAACCATAAAAAAAATCATAGCATTGGTAAAGTAAAGCCCTCACCAATGTGACAAGTGTAAAAAGTATTTCAAAGGAATACTTTAATCAAACTATCAAATTTAATTCTTTAGCTGGAAAAGGCCTGACTATAATATGTTTGTATGCAAATATTTCCTCATGCATAGTCAAATTATAACGTGTCCAGTATAGAAAAGCAAAGATTGGAAGAGCATGAAATAATTTAAAAAACTCTGAATTTCTATTCAGAAAATACTAATATTTCAATACAAAATACAAACTCAATAAAATAAGGCTTGAAAATATTCTATGTCCAATTAAATTACCACAAAAATATTAAAAGTCCAAATTAAATAATGTTTGAAATATTCCAAGACCAATTTAATAATACACTACGCGGTATGAGGCATTTGATCATGCTGAACTTGTTTAATTCGGAGTTAAAGCAGTAGTAAAAAGCATGTTACACCTACCTCCAAAGATTTATGAGCTCTAAAGACAGAAAACTCTTACGCAGTTATAACTGAGACTACTTACAATTATTGATTAAGTTTAAGTTACATAATTAAAGTGCTAATAATTGTCATTGAATATAATATGATATGATTAATATAAGGTAGTTAATATAAATTTATAATTTATATAATACAATATAGTCAATATTTGTTAGTATAATTTGTCTGCTAACATTTTTTTTTTTTAATTAAAAACTATAGGCGGTATGCAGTTACTTCATCACGTGACATATCATCATGTTCGAGTATGAGAACGGGTGCAATCACTGTTATAGGATAGGATACAAAAGGGAATTCAATGTATATTTGTAAGCAATGATTAACTATTGCTAACAAAAAATTGATTCTGAGAGGAATTCAGTTGATAGTGATGCTTTGTCAACAATACAGATTGGTATTATATTCCAATCTAACCTTTTACTTTCTACTCATATTGACCAAATTTATTTAAAAGCTATAAAAACTTTAAAATTCTTAATTAGATCTACTTCTTATTTTACTGATATTTTCTATCTAAATACCCTTAACTGTGCTTTAAACTGTTGTATAATAGAATAGACAGGTCTATACGACAATATAATATAATACAATATAATAAATCATAAATAAGTAAAGGTACTTTACCTTAAATAAGTATTTGAAAATCCAAATTGTCAAACATCTAATTGTAATTATTATTATTTTAGGTTTTACCAAAAAATAATTAAATTTTTACTGAAATGATGTATTAATTCAAAACACAAAAATTAGTGAAAAACATAGTATTGTATAGATTAACAATAAACATCAACATTACCTACAATTACCTGCCTATCTGCCTAGCTATATTATTAAGAATGTTAATTATCTTAATTTACTAAAGGAAATTAGAGAATATCCATCATCAATACATTAGGATTTATAATATAATACATATATGGAATAACTTTAATCAGTTTCAAATGCTATGTGTTAATTGCATTCATTACTTTATAAAAATACATTTAAAAATTCTAAATAATTAAGTTAAACTTGATTCCAAATTAATATCCAAATGCATGGATGAACTTTATTCGTATCCTCCTACTACATTTAATGGTTAAATCAGCTTTTTCTTAGTATGGTGAGTGATGGCTGAAAACTTAAAATAAAATACCTTATATTTACTAATATAATAAGTTACAAAAAGTAATCTTTAATTTAAAAATATAGAGCAAATTGAGTTGTATAATAAAATAAACTATTTAAAAACTAATTTACCTTATGGTTAATGAATTAACTAGTAAAATTTTTAATGTTATGTATTTTGAATTGGAGATACTTTGACAGACAGACCTTAACAATTTAATTTAAAATGAATAACATTATGATTCCGACATAATTATGACAAATTTAAAAAGAAAAAATTAAGAAACCTTGAATTTTAGTACAAAAAAGAAGAAATATGTACATATATAAGGCATTTATAGGTAACTAGTAGGCATTTAAAAATATAAATAATCAAATTAGAAAAAGCAAAATTTACCAATGACATCTTCATAATTTTCAAGGCGACAAAAATTAAATATTCTCTAATTTCTACTTAGTAACTAATGTTAAACTATATTATAATACTAAGTTTAAGCATCATTTTGTATTACTTCTACAATATTTCACAAACATAATAAAAGGTTATTTTTAGATATTTAGCTTTTAGCTTTTATAATTAATTTTGCTTAAAAAAATCAATAGCTATATATAATCTACATTAATATGGTGTATATATATAGTGTGATAATTAATTGAATTTAATTTAAATGACTTAAAGTTTTAAATCTAGTGAATTTCAGTCTAATTAGCCAAAAAATTAATTAATGTTAAAAATAATAGAAGTGATGCTCATTCTTAACAGCCAGCATTCATATTTTATAGATATTTGTCAATATTGTGAGATTGTATTTTAACGACACTATGGAGATGAATTGCTGTTTAATATTTAATACTATTCACTCACCTCATCTGTGACTAGAGTTTGGACTTAATACTGAGCATGCCAAATCTGAAAAAAAATAAAAATAATAACAATTATTGTACCTATGCTATTCTAAAAATATATAGAATTATATAATAAATACAAAAAATTATATCAACAAATTCAAAATAAATAATTGAAAATAATTTAGGTACAGAACTGTCAACAAATTACTAAATTTAAAAAAAAGAGCTGATACTGGGGACGGGAGCGGCCACTGTTGTAGGTGAGAAATTGGGACGTTAAGATACATACGGTTATTTCATTTATATCAGTAAGCAACGATAAACTATTGCTTGACAAAATACTATTCCGAGGGCAGTTCGGTAATACATAATTTGAAGTGCCGTAATTTTTTTTACAAATTTCGTTTAAATTTAATTTCAAAATGCTTATTAAAAAGAAAAAAGTCGTCTGATGATTTTGAAAATTTCACCAAATCTAGGTAAGTCCAATATAAGTATTATTACCAAGTTTCAAGCCTGCGTGTATTTAGAACCGAATTACAGAAAAAAATTAAAATGTCTTAAAAGCTCAAAAGCTTTGATGATGATACCGTAAGAAAGTAAATCAAAAAAGCAACAAAAAAAGTGTCTTGTGTGATTTTTCGATTGAATCATTTTTTCTAGTAAAAAACGTCGCCCGTGTTTTTATAATAATGAAATCGTGAAATTGTACGTTTTCCTACGTTTTTTCCTACTTGAGTGCTTTTTTATATTTAAAAACTGGTAATGAAAATCATAAAAATGACCTTTTTATAGTACAATCTAGACAACTTGAGCTTATCAAAAATAATCATTCTACTTTTCTATATCTACAACACAATGTTGTGCTTATCCTATATATTAACCTATCCTAATTTTTTTGACACACAATTTGGATTCAATCCAAATCACTCGACCATCCACCAACTCCACAGAATGGTTGACACTATTTCATCGTCATTAAAAAAAAAAGCCGTCTTCCTGGACGTAGCACTGGCGTTCGATAGGTGTGGCAGTGACTGGTGCGATGGTTTACTATTAAAATTAAAAACAAATGTCTTCCTTATTTCCTTCTATTAATATCGTACCTGAATGACCGCACTTTCATCGTACGCCAGAACTCTAGTTACACGAATTATTTCAATATCAGGGTCGGCCTGGCTAGGGCCGGGATTCCTGCCTGGGCCCTTGTACTGTGTTACCCCAAAATACACTATACAGCAGCATAGTTAAATAAATCACTACTTAAAGAATTATATTTTATTAAATATAACATAATAGGATTAATTGCAATACGTAATTTTATAATTTATTAATTTTTTGATTGTAATTGTATTGTAATATTTAGAGTTGGTTTTCTATTCGATTTTCGTCTCAAAAGTAAAAATATTATATTATAAATTTGAATGTGGAAAAAGAACAACAATAATTATTTATCTGTACAAATAACTATGAGGGTAATAACGTGAAGTCGATGGCACAAACAAAAATTAATACGTACTATTATAGTTATTAATAAATTATTATATAGATACTTACGGACGGCGGTCGGCGGTGATTATTCGATAATATACCCGGCATTTCCCTCATTCGTTTTATTTATACGTACGAGTGTCTAGAGAATGAGTTTTTGTCTCGAGCTCATTATTATAGTGTTTTAACTTTTAAGTGAATTATAATTATTTTATTTTTTCGAAAATATTTTTAATGAAGCCTAAATCAAAATCGGGAGAAGCAAAATGAGCTGCGAAATTTCATAAAGAGTTAATGGCAGATGCTAATAATCCAAAGTAAATGAAATTAAATTTTCAGCCTACACGTATTCTGCAAGGTAATAACTATTAGATTATAATAATTAATAGGTATTTATTTTAAAATAGATATAATAATTAATAGGTATTTATTTTAAAATAGATATAAAAATTTGTATTCGTTTAAACTTTACCAACATAGAATTATCAATATCAAAAAATAAGGATTCTGAGTCAATTGAAATAAATACAATTTCGTCAGAAAACATTAACTGCACAATTGATGAAAGTAAGAAAAATATAAATGGTATGTAATTCAAATTGTAATATATAAATTAGATGTACAGAAAATCTAGGTTTTTTTATATAAAAATAGAATCAAATTTGAGAAACAAAAATGTTGAATATTCAAGTATTATGGAAATAAATGAAAAAGAAAATAATGTGACTGATGAAATAAAAAATAATAATAATGGTATGTACTATATTTTTTAATTATTATTAAAATTTTTAAGTAGAAGTAGAATTAAAAAAATATTTGTACATAATATGATGAAGCACATTATTAATTTTAATATTAATTCATGGGTTCACCTCTTTTCAAATATGTCTATATTACTTTTTCATATATGTTTTATAAATATATTACTTTTTCATATATGTTTTATAAATACTAAAATTTGTATGCTACTTTATACACTTATGTACTTTTTCATATATGTTTTATAAATACTAAAATTTGTATGCTACTTTATACACTTATGTATCAAAATAATTAAAATATGTGTTTAAAAAAAACAAATTAATTAAATTCATATTTTGATATTTAGATAAACCTTAAAATGAATTAGAGAAAAATAATAAAAACGAAAAAGGACTAATGAAAATAAATGAAATCTCATTTCAAAACGAACTTTCAAATAGTTATAATGATGCTATCTTTATCAAATTTTATACCACCACCATCAAATATTTCAGCAGACATAAAATTTAAATTTTGGAAAAATCATCCTATTCAGCCATTTTTAAAAGTAGAAAAATTGAATTTAGAAAAAAATTATCCAATGGGGATGTAATAAATAGGAAATGGATTTCATTTTCAGTCGAAACTAAATTATTTTATTGTGCTACATGTATGACATTTTCAGTTGGTTCTAAATCAAAATTTATTTCTGGTTATAACGCTTTAGCAAAATCTGACCATTCATCAAAATGCTGCAAATGCAGTTTTTCTTTGTAATTTGGAAAATGATATAGGTAGTTTAATAAATCAAAATTTCATTATGAAATGTGCAAAAAAAAATAGATCAGTGTAGAATGGTACTCAATAGATTGATAGACATAGCATTATTTATTGGAAAACAAAATATAGCATATAGAGGAAAACATGAAGGAGCTCATTTATTAAACGATTGAAATAAAAATTATGGCCAATTTTTGGTATTAGTCTTACTAATTGCCAATTATGATAGTATACTTAATAATCATGTGCAAGAATCAATTATATCTAGTAAAAAAAAAGATGAATAAAAAAAGTCGACGTTCTTTACATACATTTCTATCCAAACATTTTATTAATGATAATATAATCAACAGGATAGGAACTTCAATATAGAAGATTATAGTTAATCAAATAAAAGAGTGTAAAAAATTTAGTATCATGATTGACAGTACACAAGATACAAGAGTATTAGATCAATTGGTAATTTGTGTTAGGTACTTATATAAGGGAAAAGTCCAAGAAAGGTTATTAAGTTTGGTTGTAAGCAGTGACTCCAGTGGTCTAGCTCTTTTTAATTTATTGTGTAATGTACTTTCAATCCCTAAAAATCTCTCATTGACTGATGTAATAGGTTGTTCTTTTGACGGTTCAGCTAATATGAAAGGTGCATATAATGGATTACAAGCATATATGAAAAATTCCAATCCATAGTGTATACACATTGTCTGGCTCATGTAATAAATTTAATGATGGAAGATTCAACGAAAAAAAATGTTGAAGCTGAAAATCTTTTTGGTTTGATAGAACAAACAAGTTTTCTTATCAGATTCTTTTAAAAGAATTAAAATTTGGAAATTACTGGAAAAAAACTATTCAGGACATAATAAATTATAATCTCCAAAAAATTTGCACTACTAGATGATGGAGTAAAGAAAAGGTCTTGTCTTCTATTATACATAAAGAAATCATGACTAAAACTGATATATTAAAAGAAAGTAAATTAATTACCTTATTACAGTTTTTAATAGAAATAAATAACGGCAATTTCAATTCATCTACCAAGGTTATGGCAAGAACTTTAATTGAAAAATTGTCAGTTTATTTACAATCAAAATCTTTACCACTGGGTAACTTCCCTAATCTGAAGATTCCCCGTTAATTAAGTTTTATTTTCGTCGTATATCAAACCTACTAATTATAAAAAATTGTACAAATCATAGATAACTTTAAAATAAATTTAAAAAAAAGTATGCAACCTTTGAGCGGCTTCGCATATTTTGCAAAACCATGACAAAAATACACCACTAAGATGGCAAGAATCGTGGACGTGTGCATCTGCGATCAATTTTCACCCTCCCGACTTTATGTTATGAACAACAGCTTCCCATACACAATACAATTAATTGTACGAAAAATCGTTCAAATAATTATTTGAACTAGTACGAACTTGCAGTACGCGAGTTAGTAATTACCATTTACTACACACATTTATACGACTTATGGTACTACAAGTTGTACTTTATACAATTCGTCGTTTTGATAGGATCGTGATTAATTTGACGTGAATATTATGTGATAACAAGCCTCATCAAATATGCTTATAGATCCAAACGAATACAAATTTACAGTAACAATTTAATTTATAAAGTATTCAATTTTTATTTGTTATGGCTACCATAACAAAAAAAAAGAAAAAGAATATTAGTACCTATTATGGTTGTGTTGTTGTCATGCGATGAAAAGAAGAGAAAAGGAAAATGGTGCGAAAATTGGCTAATTGAACGAAATAAATTGTATTTTTAGTTTTATTTCACACATACGGTGTGATTATTAAATCGATCGAACATATCGTACCGGTTCCCGCACATGTTACGATTGATCGTGTACTCGCGTGGCGATCTGGTCGTTGAACAGATTTTATGCGCTTTCAGCTCATCGTACTATACACGTTGTACAACTTTACCATAGCACCATAAACGCAAGTGAGATCGTATCAAACAAAGTTGTACAACCTGTCGTACGATTAATTTGTATCGTGTATGGGGAATTAATGCATTATGGCCAATCACTCGGCGTTTGCCGGTTTCTTCGTTTATTCTTCTATGATCTTTGGCGAACAGCGTGTATCGTTTGTGCGTTTAATTTTAGTATATGCAAACCTGTAGTTAACCATTAAGTTTTGTCTCCTAAAAAGTAAAAAACATGTAACTTGTAATTCCCTTTTCTCAATTTCTCATTACACAATCCAATAATTTTTTTTGAATACTTCTTATATTCTATAGTTAATATCCGCAGTATTCAAAAATATAAATAAAAGTAGATACGCAAATCTATTATGGAAGGTGATCATAGTTATGCAATGTCTCCATTTAGTTCAAAGTGAGAAAATGTATTAATAGTTATAAGTAAAAAACAAAAATCAAATATTGTTTAAATGATTAACAATCAAAAATATAACAATTAAGAATGCATTTATATCTGTATATTACAGCTTCTGAGTATCTATAGGTTCTAATGAAACATATATATTTTTTTAAAGATATTTTTCGTTTATTTGAAGATGTGAGTATTTAGACTTAAAACAATTAGAACTAATAAAATGGTTATTTACTATAAATTTAAACTTACCTTTGGAAATCACTTTAATGACCGAAAATTAAATGGGAACCTTTTTGTTTACCTTGCGAATATTAAATCACAAAACATAATATATATATATATGTATCAATAATATGTTATTTGATAATTTATTTTTAAAACTATTTACCAAGAAATAAATTATTGTAGTGTGCACATTTTTTTTGAAATCTATTCTCAAAGAAATTATTCTTTGAAAACATTTTTAATTTGTTTTATTATCCTACTAATTCACTAATAAATGTATTAGGGTTATGAAGAATTAGAAGCATTATTTAAGAAAAATTCACTATTGTTTATTATATTTTCAGTGCATTAAAAGAAGAATTTATTTATACGTCTTATAATGGTTATGATGGATCAATGCTAATAGAGTAAGTACTATATTATTTTATGTATTTTACTAACTTTATATTTTTTAAGTATACTTATAATTGCATAATATTAGCTGATTTGATAACGAAACTATGTGATAATATTGAGTTTAAAATTACCATTAATATAAAAGTTAATGTGCTATAATTGTCATTGGAATAGCATTACAACTGGGGGAATACTTTTACCAAAAATTATAATTTTTTTTTTTTTTATATATATATATATAAGTAATTTTGGTTTAATTTAGTTAGATATGTAATGTAAATACTTAAAATGTATAAATGATTAATATACAGTATTTCTTACCCAATTCCATTTATTATATCGGTTCCTATATTTTATTAATTTCAATAATTAGTAGAACTTATTCTGATTGGTTTGGACAATAATGTAAAAAAGTACACGTAGAGTGATATAAAGACTTTTTTTTTTAATGTCTAATTAACTATTATATTTTAATTATTGAATTATATTGCCCTCATAAACAAAAACGCTGTAAGTTTAAAAAAATCAATTATTGGTAATATTTATTCATGCTGTAAATGGTTAAAAAAATATTTTTACTGGGTGAAAACACTGTATAATAACTATACTAAGCAAAAATTCCGTAAATATTAATAAAAATATGGCATTTTTACTTATTATACAATAAAAATAATAATTTTTGGCTCTTATATTTAGTACAGATTGTGTGTTTGCTTATTGTAATATTATAATCAATAAATCATCAAAATATAATAATATAAAAACTTAACAAATGATACAATATCAGTTATTTGTTAGGTATTCATACAAATTATAGGTATTTATTAATGGGTATTCATACCCATTCACTATTCAATACAGTTCTTACCTCTAAAAGCTAGGGTTATTATTTACATAAGTTAGGTAAGTACATCAAAACTATTTATTTCTATTTATTCTTATTCCATTGTATTTATCAGGTAAAATCACATTTAAAAATCCATAAAATACTTTGATAAGTAAAAAGTAAGAGATATTTTGAATTTTAGAAAATGTAAAATATAAAAACCTATGTTTCTCAAAAATTGTGTCTAATGACTTTTTACTAATGAGGGCAGTATAATTTCTAAATAAAAAATAACAATTTGTTGTATTGATCGATTCTAATATTTTTTTTTTTTTATAATGTATATTTAAATTAGGGTGAATTACCTTTTTATTATGTTTTCGTTGATATTTTTATCGGCTGAGAAAAAAAATTGTACTTAAATTGTCAGATCTTAAAAATAATTTATCCAAATCTCAAATAAAAATTGATTGAAAATATCTGTTTGTTTTATTTTTTTAGTCTAAATTAATATATTTAAAAAAAAAATATGCAATTTGCTAGATATATATTTTTTTACCAAAAACAAAGATGTGTGCTTATTTAGTTTATATAAAAAAAAATTTTAAATTTTGACGAATTACAAATCAAATCTATTCAATAATTGTATTAATTTATGTGTTGTCACAAAAGAGATCAATTACTGGACAGAAAGTGGAATTTAATCTGACTGACACGAACCCAATTATTTGTACTTATCATATATCATGTATATTACCATGTATCATTACAAAATAGAATGTCATTATTATTAAATTATTTTAAACTAAAATGCACTCCTTCAGTTATAGGTTTTTTTATATTGCAGATTAATAGTTATTCAAAATATAAATTTAGTATATATTTGATGTTTTTAATGGTATTTATTATCATTATAATTATTATATTTTTTAGATACATATGCAACTCTAATAAAGAAGTAGAACAAATAAATACCCACATAAAAAAAGAAGTCAATTGTATTGATGGTATTGTTTTTGAGAATCAGATTACTATCAAACATGATCCAATTTTTAAAGAAAAATATTTCACATGTGATATTTGTATTAATATATTTACTTCAAAATCAAGTTTAAGATTCCATATGAAAACTCATTTTTTCAAAAAACCATACCCATGTAAAATATGTAGTAAATCATTTTTTACCTTACATATTTTACAAAACCATATGAATGTTCATTGTGAAAAAAGGTACCAATGTAAGGTGTGTAAACAGATATTTTCTTATTCATACAATTTATTGAGACATAGAAGAACTCACAATGGGGAAATGCCTCACCAATGTGACATATGTATGCGAAAATTCACTCGAAAAGACCATTTAAAAGTCCATAAAAGAATTCATAATAAAGAAAAACCTTACCAATGTGAGGTATGTAAAAAACTATTTTGTCAGCCAAACCAATTAAACGTCCATAAAAAAGTTCATAACAAACAAAAGCCTCACCATTGTGATATATGTACTCAGAAATTTACTCGAAAAGTATATTTAAAAGCCCATAAAAGAATTCATAGTGCCTCAAAAAAAAAAAACAAATAAGCCTCTCACCAATGTTAAATGTGTATATTTTCTCCACCAAACTGAAACACACATCAAACAAAAAAATTCATACTGTAAATAATTCTCACAAATGTGCTAGTATAATTCATTAATCTCTAGATTTAGCAATTTATACAGATGCCAAAATTATTACAGCAGAATTCTTCTATACATGTCAGATTTATAAAAAACTCATATCTTTGATTGGATTGTTTAACTTATTATTCATTAGTTCATTATTAATGTGCAATGTTATTACTTATTAATTTTAAAATGTTCAATGTGTAAATCGACTTTAATTTTTTTTTCTAAGTGTACTTTTGTAATATGTAATGATTCTTGTAGGTATCAAAAATTTCACAATTATTGTTGTTATAATTTGAATGTATAGTAAATTTGGTAAATATTTATGACAATTATTATTTAAATAAAATATATTATATATATAAACATAGACTTAACACCGAGATAAAACATTTATTATAGTAAAGCACGTATTAATGGCTTGATAACTTGATAGAATATTTAATTCTTGGTCTATCTATATGCACAAGTAGCTTAGTGATTAACATTGTGTATTGTAAAGCTTTTTTATTTTTACTCCATATGGTATTATCATATTAATAAAATATTGATGGTAATTTTATTAGCAATCATTAAAAAAAAAATAAATAATAAATCTGCTTAAATGCATGTTAATCTATTTGTAATTGAGAACATTAATTTTATTTGAATATTTTCTAATTTTTAAGAAAATAACATTCTCTTAATAATATCCAGATTTATATTCAAAATCCAGACTATAATTATAAGAAATAATAAATATAATTAGTTATTAGTTTATATAATTGTAATGTATCATACTGTTTTGGTAGAAATATTAGTGCTTTTAAATTTAAACATCTTTATCATATAAGATTAAAACATGGAGTAAACCTTAATACACCGGTTATTAAGAAATTTTTGATGAAAAAAGTATACCTATTTAGTATTATAAATTATAATTATTATGTAATAAATATTATTAGTCTCCTAATACAATTAAATAGGTATTAATGTAACTACTTTTTACTATAAAAGTGCATTTTTGAGCTATGTAAATAATTTATAATTTTAGTTTTATTGTATAAGTTACACAGAAATTTGCATTTTATTTATTTTGGAAGAATCTAATAGTGAATTACTCAAAAGCATGGATATTTTTAGAAAAATTAAAGATATTTTAACAAATATTCCTGGTCCTAATGAGAAAAAAAATTAAATTTTCTTTAATTTGTATGTATGTATGTAATTGAAAAAAATGAAAGGTATAAAACTTTAAAGTCTTACTCTGAAGTCATATCTGGTAAAGCAAATGTTAATTTAGATATAACACCTACTTTATTAAATTGTTTTAAATATACACCAATAACTAATGTAGATGTAGAACGTAGTTTTTCTTTGTACAAACATATTTTAAATAATAGAAGATTTAATTTTAATTAAAAAAGTAACATTTTTATAGTGTAATTTATTATGCAATTATTTGTGTGTTTTAAATGCAATTAAATCTACTCTTTAATTATAATTTTCCAACACATTTTGTGTGAAAAAATGAAAATGAAAAATTGTGTAACTTACTATGTATTTTTAACTATACATTAAAAAAATGTTTTCTTCTTTATCGGTTTTTTAAAGGCCATTGAGGCCCACAGTGTGAGCAACACAAACTTGCTTCCAAAAAAATGTTTTATTTTATATTTAATATATTGGGCATAATATTATAAAGAAAGATTTTCATCATAAATAGTATGTAATGAATATATAAATTTTAATGTAAGTATATTATCATTCATATGATAACTACGAAAACTAATTTTTTTTTTTATATATGTAATCACGATAAAAAAAATGTAGAAAAGTATTTTCATCAATATACATTTGATTGTAATTTAATTAAGTTAGTAAAAAAAAAATAGTTGATACTGCTGATGTGTACGTCACTGTTGTATGTGGAAAGCTAGAACACAAGGTTATTTAATTTATAACTAGAACATAGGACTTGTAGCATTTGCATATTTATTTTGCACATTAATAAAAATTACAATATACAAAACAAATGCATTTCATGCTTTCACAAAGCTATTTTTAAAATTTTATTTTGCCTATAAATGCATATTTTGAGTTTTTTTTTTAAAAAAAAGCCTATTTTATATTTTTAGAAGCATTTTTTTAATAATTTATCATTTTATCAATATTTTTCTGTCGACATTTAAATTTTTCATTTTATATGCAACCAAAATATTGTTCAATTTAAAATTACAAATTATTTAAATGTTTCGTTGAAACATGTCTCGAGAGTCTCAGGTTAGATTAATTTTATTTTTAAATAGTAAATACTAACAATTTTTTTTTTTAGGACCAGAAGAATTTTAAAGAAATTAAATTTTGTAAAAAAAATTGGATATATATATATATTTAAATAAATACTTTATAATAATTACTTTAAAAAATATATTTAAGCATATTTGTAGTGCATAAGTTCTCGCATATTTAATGCTTTTTTAGAATTACAAATATCTGCACTATTTATAACTAAGCAACAATAAACGAGTCTAAACAAAGTTTGTTTATATATGATTTAGGTGCTTTATAGTTTTTTAATGAAATCAAGCTTTCTGGTAGAAAATATAATTCGTACAAATTTTAAGTAATGAAATTGTACGCCATACTTTTTATTCAGAAATTCCCAATTATTTTTAAAAAAATGCCTTCTTTTACGCATTTGATATATTGAAGCAAGATTGATGTTCTATAAGTTGCTCACAGATACATAAAACTAAAACCAATAGACTCCTCGAAACGTAACTCTCCGAATTTATTGAAATGAGAATTAGGTACCTAATATGCTTGTGTCTTGGCACTTGAAACATTTCAAATATGCTTATAACTATTACACAGATTATAGGTACTATAGAGACTACGGTCTAAGAAGATCTATATTTTTACTTTTCGGTCAGTAAACAACTTTTAGATATAGAAAACATGCACCATGTATCAAGTTTTTTTCGATTTTCCAAGTAGTAGGTAGTCGTAAGAAAGTAATAATTAGGAAAAACCTAAATAATTTATAATTACCTACTCGACTAATTTTTTCTAAATTCGATAATTACACGTTAATATTAATGAATGTTACATTATTTTTATATAAGTATGTTATACATTTGTGGCCCAATCTCCGGGTTTTGGCCATTGAAAATATATAACTATTAAATTTGTAGTCGAATACCCGGGTAGGTAATAAACATGTAAACAAATATTGTACAGGTACGAAACACGAAGATAAAATGTTGCCCAAATACCGACTTCTCAACATAGATAATGAAGAATTATTTATTATCTAGGTGCTACTCAACTGTTTTCAATGGAGAAAACAAAAACAATGACACATTTACAGGTTAAGGGTATTTATGCTCAAAATCCCAATTGTCCCTTTAAAACGCGTTATCTTCTTATTTCAAATGCATTGTTATTATGAATATAATACAGCCTATCGAATTCGTTTTACACAAGTGGATTAAATATGTATAACTAGAGAGCCTAGATAATAATATTATCTAAGCTCTCTATATATATAGCTAATTACACTGGATCCACTGATAAATATATTTTGGATAAATATTATTCCGTAACTGCGCTAATAATTTAAACATAGGTAGGTTAGGTTAGATAAACATATTATAATAATTATTGATACCTACCATCAAATCTTTCAATAAAAAAATGCAAAACAACAAATACTTATAGGTATAGCATACACATGTAAGAATTGCAAGCGTATAATATTGTTATATAAATATAATAATACCTACCTGATAAATGCAGTTATAATATGAACAATAAATAATAATTTCATAAAATCGTTGTCACAATTGTGTAATTCGGAAGCTGCTTACTTATATATTCGGTCTTCAAAAATCATAAAATACAAAATTTTGTTTTGATTTTTTTTTTTTTCTGCCGTAGGCGTCCGTCTTTTGATAACTTATAAAAACAGTAAATAGTTACCCAATACAATGGTCGTGTATTTTAATTAAATTATAAACCGGCTATAATATTATCATTATGAAATGCCTGTAACCAAATTTGACATAATTAATTATTAAAATAACTGAAAACGTTCAAATCAAAAAATATTATGAATCATTCAGGATTTGACTCATCTATATTTATCATTATATGTTTTACTGAATCATTCAATCAATAAACGAACAAAATATACAAACTTACCGACAGCATTCGGTGAAACCTAAGTATTCCTGTAACCTGTATTCATACTTTTACCAAACATATAGTGTATATATTTTCTTTATATTTGTCTAATATATAATAAATTAACTAATTATTTATTTGTATGTGTATTTTTTAGTCAATGTTGTTAGTTGGGGATTTTATGATTACACGTCGAATACATACTTTATATGAGTTTATTATAAAAGAAGATAATAATAGATATACAACTAAAATACTAAATACAATATAGGTAAGTCTTCACTAGTTTGAAATTCAAAAAATGACACTAAAAATGCTCATGGAATAAAAAATATAAACGCTGTCCTCGGTTCTAGAACATTGTTTTCCATGATACTGTACTGCTTCGTATTTGTAGGTTACGTTATCTCTTTTTAGTCTATCTGATTAATGTCTTTCATTAGGTTCTGTTTCTTGTAGAAACCTCCATTCCATTTGCACGGCGAGTTTATTTGGATTTCGTCGTTAATTTGTGATTTTTCTTTCGCATTATGGTAAGTTATCGAAAATAGTTTAACGCTTTAATGTTGGTTTTAATTTGCTTAATCATTGTACTTCAACTTTTACGGATTCGACTAGATAAAGTTTACTGACTACTAAGAAACTATTTATTTGGACGTACTTAGACAGGTGTTATTTTAAGTATCTTGTAATAATTAATTTTACTTTCAGGGTTTCGTTAAAGTAGTTAAAAACAAGCAATACTTTAAGCGTTATCAAGTCAAATTCAAGAGGCGTCGTGAAGGTAAAACTGACTACTATGCACGTAAACGTTTGATTGTCCAAGACAAAAATAAATATGACACACCTAAGTACCGTTTAATTGTTCGTTTGTCTAATAAAGATATTACATGCCAAGTTAGTATTTTATTTTATTAAACTCTGAGTACAACAAATTTATTCTATACATTTTAAAATTCAGGTTGCACACTCTCGTATTGAAGGAGACAAAATTGTATGTGCTGCATACAGTCATGAATTACCCAAATACGGTGTTAAAGTAGGTTTAACCAACTATGCGGCTGCATACTGCACTGGACTATTAGTTGCTCGTCGAGTAAGAAATATCTTCTTTCATCGTTTCACCTATATTTTTTTTATCTAATGTATATATTTAGTTGTTGAAAAAACTTGGTTTGGACCGTTTGTATGAAGGACTGAAAGAAGCTAATGGTGAAGAATACTATGTTGAACCAGCTGACAAGGGGCCAAATGCATTTAGGTGTAATCTTGATGTTGGTTTGATGAAGACAAGCACTGGTGCCAGAGTTTTTGGTGCAATGAAAGGAGCAGTTGATGGAGGTTTTAACATTCCTCACAGGTAAATTGTTAAAATTAGACTAATTTTTTTCTAAAATGTATAAAACTAATTTTTGTTTTAGTGTAAAACGTTTCCCTGGTTACGATGCTGAATCCAAGGAATACAATGCTGATACTCATCGCAAGCACATTTTGGGATTGCATGTTGCTGAATACATGCGTAAATTAGAAGAAGAAGACGAAGATGCTTTCAACCGTCAATTTTCACAATACATCAAACTTGGCATTGTTGCTGATGATGTAAGTCAATTAAATATGATTAAATTAATTTGCCTAAAAAACTTTAAATAATAATGTTGATTTCAAAAAAAAAAAAAACGTATATGTATTTCTATTTTCTTAATCTTTAAGAGGATGTTATACCCGCGTATTGGTCCTTGTAACATACGTAAACAATTTTTATGCAGAAAAAGTTAAAATAGTTTAATTTTAATTTTAGAGTAAAATATCTATTATGAAATTTATAGACAACAGTATTTTGAAGGAATTATCATAGAGTTTTTGTATTCAAAGTATACAGCTTGATATAAAAGATACCTTAATTATTTTGCTTTTGTAATAGTTCATAATTCAATAAACACTGATGACATTCCCTTCAAAATATTGTTCTTTATAAATTTAATAATACGTACTTTTATTATTATAATATTAAATGGAGCAACCAAAATTAAGAATAAAGTAAAAACAGTAACAAAGTAACATAAAGTTACAAACTCATCCTATGAGCCAAGCTTGTGTCGGATGAGTTAAGTTCCTAAATTAAAGTTAATAAGGTAAAACAAATGACATATAAAATCAAATTAAATACAGAATCAAAAAGTTAAACTATTGTATACAAAATACATAATTTTTGTAATGTTTAAAATTAGTAAAAGAGAAGCATTTATGTAATAATAAAATCCCTATATTGGACTATAATTCCCAAATTTGGTTTTATTAAAAGGTACATTAAGGTTGTTATTCATTTTAATCTTGTATTAAAAGCATGAGGTGGTTGATAATCACTAATAATAGATTTAATTTTAAACATAAATAATAAAGTTTGACATTCATATTGCAAATTAAAAATTTGAATATTTAGATCAGAATATAATAAAACAGTCTAATATAATCTAGATTTATTTAAAATAGTTTTAATTAAAGAACTAATAGTAATATTTAAGACATTAATATGACTAGAATAAGTACTATCCCATACCAATGAACCATATAAGTAGACAGATTATACTTGAGCTAAAATGACGAATCTAGATTTAATCTAAGATTTTAAGTCTAATATATTATGTAGTATTTTAAAATGTGTAAAATAGTTTCTAATTACATTACATATGTTCTAAAAATGTAAGCCTATGATCAAAAATTATACCTAGGTATTTCACATTATAAACTCTTATCTAATTGAATATATTTGCAAGGTACATTTAAATATTTACAACTATAAGAATATGGACTAATAGAAAAGTTAGCGCTTAAATTATAAATACCATTGTTACAAATATTGAAAACTCAACATATTTAAATTTACTTAAATTTAACTGAAGATTATTATTATCACACCATTGAAACTTACTAAAAATTAGTTTTTAGTATGTATGTCTACAATATTCTTCTTGAGGTTGTCAACTGTGAATCAAAAATTTTTGAAATTCTGTCAGAAGTAGTTGTATCCCAGAAATAATAATTTTTAATTAGTGTTAAATAGATTCTATAGCATTTTCACAACAAAATCTTGTATTAATTATTATTTTTTTTTTTTTTAATGAATTTGACTTGAAATTAAATATTTTGAAGTGTGTAGTAATGGTAAAAACATATGACTTAGATTGAAGACCTGGGAGCTACAAAGAGAGACATGTCTAAAAAAAAAACCTAAGAATTTTTTAAAAATAGATTTTTTAGTTTTTGTGTTCATATATCATATGCACTCATAAAGAATGCATAAATTGTAATAAAGTTAAGGAAGCAATAAAATAGTGCTTAGATATATCTTGTTATTGCACCATAATTAAATATAATTATATAATTATAATAATTATTATAATAAATTTTAGTTTTGGTGTTCACCTATCTTGTTGCACCATTATGTGCTACAATATTTGGAGTAACAGCAAGATGAGTCCATTTGTGTTATAATTTCATAAATAATGGTCAGACATGTCTGATTGTTGCACCAATCGATGAGTTATTTTTTTTCTATCCAATTCAATAAAAAAGTGGTTTTGTCCAAAAATTGGACATCATGTCTTGTTGTTGCCTCCAGGTATTCAATTGAAGTATTATTTCTCTTTTTTGACTATTAATATCTTCATAAGTTATAAGTAGGAAACTGATTTATACATACTTAAAGTCCACCAAAAAGTACTTTAAATATTTAAAAAAGTGGTAAAGAGGTTTTAGAGTCCCAACTATAATGGTTCTAACCCTATTAAATACAATTTTCTAAGACTGACAAATGGTTAACTCAAATATTTTGCAATAATCGTTTTGTTAGTGTTAAAAAATTATTATTAAGTAATAACTAATAAAGTTTCATTTGCGAATCATTACGATTATATAGTACTTAATAATCATAAACAATATCTACATAATATCCTATTCATGTTTTCGAGGTTTTTTTTTTTTAAAATAAAATATGTTATAGACCGTTGAAATGTAAGCCACTATTATTCAAACCAAACAATTCATAATATAGGACCAAATTACTTTAATAATAAATTTTAAATTTGCGAATGGGTTATTTGTGTCAATAAGCACTATAGAAAATCTTATTTTATCCAGTACCTGACAATGGTTCATCAGTGAAAAATAGTGATTTGACTTTGTGTTATTTATTCTTCAACTTGCAATATTTAACCGATTAGCACTAACCAACAAAATTTAGTTTATTTGAAGCAAATTTAAAGCAGATTAAAAATAAAAACAGTGTTATTAATACTTGTTAATGAAATTATATGGTGCCATTAAAAATTCAAAAGGGGGTAGTGGTTTCACCATCACTCCTAAACATGGGTGGTAAAGGTACATTAGGGTAATTTAACATACCTTAACAGCTACTTTTTTTTTCTCAAATATTCTAAAATAAATAAATTCTTTCCAAGATAATGAGTATCTTACATTTTATTATTGATCACTCTGTCTACCATGGAACAAAATTCAAAAAAACCTTATTAAATGTGAACATGAAAAAAATTACAATTACAAGCTATTAATATAAGCTAAAATGCTTAAAATTTATTTTACAATAAGAATTAGCTTTGATCTTTAAATCGTGAATGTAATTTTAATACTATAAATTGCTTTTTCAACCATCCCTTCTTTCAAGAAAATAGAAAAAATGTCATACCATATTAATATTATAGATTTTATCTATGTCTATAGTTAAATTGCTTTTGAGTTATATCAATCAAACTTAACAATATTTATTAAATATTATATTAATTTAACTGTGATTAAAGGTAGCATTAGTTTTTAAACTTTTCTGTTATGTTTTTGTTCTTTTAATTGATACTTAAAAATGAGTTCATGGAAAAAATAGAATATATAGTATAAATGTTTAATACTAAAGTAAACTGAACATTTTCAAATTTAATTCAATTGAATTGATCATTTATAAATATTTTTATTAATACATACATACAATATTAAATGTTTAACAGCCAATCATTAATCAACTTTTTGAAAATTAATTTTATTTAATTTTTTCATTTAAATACATTTTTATAGTTTTAGGTTTAAAAAAAATATAATATTATTTGACCAAGGCCAATTTTTGCCTATCTTTCTACTTATAAGATCATAATTTCAATTTTAATAGATTAATAATACTATTTTAAACATATATATATATATATATATATATATATATATATATAAGTACATGAAACCTATTTAATTTGAATTTTTTTTATTTTTATTATTATTATTGTTATTTACTTTTGTAGTTGGAAAATATGTACAAGAAAGCTCATGAAAATATTCGTAATGATCCAAAACGAGAGAGAAAGCAGCAGAAGAAGGATGATGAACTACCCAAGAAACGCTGGAATGCTAAGAAATTGACTAATGCTGAGCGTAAACAACGTGTTGTAGAAGCCAAAGCTGCGTATCTTAAAGAGTTACAAGGCGAAGAAATGGAACCTTAAACCGTTTTTATGTTTTGAGTGGATTATTACAATAAAGCATATAAAACTACTTGATTTTGCATCTAATATTCCTAATTTTTGAATAATTTCTCTAATCTATGGCACCTGAATGATACATATTTATCTCAATTTTAGATCATTAAAGTTTATAATAACTTGTATCACACACTAAAATTTGAATAAACATCAATGATCAGTATAATCTTACCTAGGATAATAACCTTTTATTTATCATTGAAAATATTATCTCAAAAATCTAGAGATTCAGTTGGGCTAAATATCTAAAATAGGGCAGTTGACAAAACAAAATAGAACAGAATAAGTATAACAGAGCTAAGAATGCTTAGATGAACGAGTGGCGTGACGAGAGAACATAGGGTAAGGGAGGAGTACATAAATAGTTTGGGCATGGTTACTATAGAGTAGACAAAATTAGAGCAAAGAAACTGGGCATGCTGTATGGAGAAGAGTAGGAAATAATATGATAAGGTTAATAATAAAAATGTAAATGCATTGTTTAATACTTCTTTTGTTAAAGGTTAGTTTAATAATTATTTTGTTTTGTCGAGGAAACAAGGAATATACAGGTATTTTTACAGTATATTATACATTTTATTTGATTTATCTACACTTAAACAGTTTTACTAAAGAAATAAAACAATTCAAAACATTACCTAGATGTTAAGAAAAAACTAAGTTATATGCATATATAAATAGCGAAAAGCAATCTAAATAACAGATGTAATTTCACCAATTTAATACAAAAAACTGAGAGTTCCCACAATGAAATGGGTAAATTTAATGTTTAACTTTATGAAAGATTAATCATAGTTAACAAAAAACGATTCTGGGCAGAGTGTGGTTAAACATGTTTTGAAAGTTATACATTTTGTGAATTTTCTTTTTGATTTTTCACATTTTTTATGAAAATCTAAAAATGTCCTTAATGTAAAAACCCCAGACAAATTTTCTTTCAGAAAAAATCCCAAATTTGAAAATCTGAGTAAAATTTCTGGTAGAAAATGTTCACAGAAAAAAAAAAGAAACAGTAAAATCCCTATACATTCTTTGCTCCGGTCAGAATCTAAACTGAACAGGATGTTTATCATAATCATTGTTGCTCAACGCTTCCAATCTAACATTTCTAAGGATATCTGATTTTATGTTCTGCAAATTCCGACAATCCAACTAAGTAGATGAAGCTTTATCAACAGCGTTGGAACTTAAATTCAAACTCTTTAGTTGATCTAATTTTTTTCTAAATAAATTGCATTAAATTTCTCTTACATGGCTATTGAGACCATCATCCTTGGGATTGTGGTGGTAATTTAACCCAAAACTGTATACCCATACAATAATTCTGTTAGAAATTTGCTTGACAACTTTTATTTACACTTAGGATGACTTCAATACATGTATAGTGTATACATTCCAATAGTTTTTTAAATACAATATTTTTGTTTTATTTCTTTAATACATATTAAACAAAGCTTACTGTTTAAAGTTTTATTGATTTTAATAAAACAGATACATAAAATATAATATATTATGTATCTACTTATTTAATAATAGTTATACTTACTATGTCCTAGTTTTAAAATAAATAGATCCCATTATAATACTAATAATTTACAATAATATATTTAGTAAAACTGTGTATGTAATAAAAATATTGCCCAATTGATAAACACTTAAATTAAAATAATTAACAAATACAATACTTAAATTTAAATAGAGGATAAGACATAGGTTAGGGTACTGTTTTTCTTTTATAAGAAATTAGTCATTGTGTCGTGTTATTCGAATTGCCTATACCCCAGATATTGGAGTAATGTGAAAACCGAAACCCTCAAAAGCTGGAATTATGATTGCGCACTATAATGCTAGATGTCAGTTGTTAAGTACCAACCCCATAAAATAATTCTAACCAAAACTATTATGAAAAGAAAAAAGTATACCTAAAATACCTCCCTCTTGTTTGTCGGTCAGGCAATTTGGCTTTATGCCTAAGCGTTCAGCAGAGGACGTGATCAATGCATTGCTCGCTCCGGTGCGTGATTCGATTGCCAAATATGTTGCCGCTGTGTTCCTCGATATCCGGGGAGCCTTTGATAACGCTTGGTGGCCGTCCTGCCAACATTGCGTCGTCACGACACCCCGCCAGGCTTGTACAACCTTGTGAAGGACTTTTTATCGGGTCACCAAGCGGTGATTCGGCATAAGTCGATCGTAGTCGCGAAGGAAATCTCGAAGGGTCGCCTCTTATGGAACCTCATCTTCGATGATTTACTAAATGCTACCATGCTGATGACGAGGCGGTCGTGATGAAGTCCCGCTCCCGAACCGAGATCGAACCCAGGGCCGATCAAGCACTCGTTACGGCCCTCGAGTGGGGGAAGCGAAACAAGCTGTTTTCCCGTGGAAAAAACCGAGGCACTTTTAGTCAAAGGCCCTGACGCACGTTCTCCGCTGATCCGGATGAACGGTGCCCGAGTCAAGTTCGTATCGCAGGCAAAATACCTCGGGGTCATTCTCGATCGAAAACTCAACTTTACGGCGCGTGTTAATTACGTTGCCGTTAAAGCTAAAAGTCTGGCACTTCGACTGCGCTCCAACCTAACCGCCACCCGATGGGGCCTTCGTGCACCCGCATTAAGACTCCTATACGCACGAGCGATGGTGTCCACAGCAGCATACGCTGCGAACGTGTAGGCTCACCGGTTGACACAAATTGTTAGCCTAGCTGCTACATTGAATCGGGCGCAGCGGCCGACCCTTCTCTCAACAATTGGCGCCCACATTGGCATTACAAGTTCTAGCGAGGTCACTACCGCTAGACTTAAAAGTCCGCGAAAGGTCCGATCTATAAGATCACCAGCCGTCTCGAACGCTCGGCGACATCGAGTGATAGATGCGATGGGACACCGCCGTCGCCGGCCGTGTTACATACACATTCAATCCCAATATCCGGTGGGTACTCGCGCAGCGATGGTTGTCACCAACCCATTTCTCCTCGCAGTTTCTCACTGGACACCGTGATTTTTAAGTTTACCTGCATCGATTCGGCATAAGTGACGTTGTGTGAATGTGACGAGACCCTCACGGAGGATTCGTGGCACATTCTTTTACACTGCCCACTGCACGCCGAGCTACGTTCGCGACTTACCGAGGGGCCGTGGGGCGCTGCCGACTCGGCGGCATCTTCCCAGTCACCCGTGGCTCTCGAACGTTTCACGCGGGCTATTCTCCCGCAAAGGGAGCGGCATTAAATGTGCGGAAGTATCGCGGACAAGCTGAGGGGACGCTAGTCCCCGACACCGAATAGACGCAGCACAGCCATTCCAGTATACGTAAACCTGCCAAATGGCAGTTGGTCAGCTGGGTCGCTAGATGACGTTCCGGCACCTTTGGCCTGAATTAAGTCGTTCCTACGAGAAAGCACGCGACGCCGGCCGCGGGCGGTTAATGATCCAGAAACGGATGTGGGTAATCGCCCGTGGGGTAGTTTGGTGCGGCGGGCACCTACGTTTGCGCGTAACGCCTGTTCGGGACCGGCGAGCGCAACCCCGAAATCTCAGCTAAAATATAAAATATGAATACGACATACGTTGTTGGTCACGTATAATAATGAGATGAAAAAACAAAATAAAATTTAAAAAAAAAAAATTGTCAAAATTAATTTCTTCACAATAAACATTCAATAATATTCAATATGTACACTTATACGTATAATAAATGTGTTGATTTTTTTAGAAACTTAATATCGAAAAAAAGCCAATAACGACATTTGACAAGTGCGTATCTAGTTGTTATATTATGTAAAAACTCGTATTTTCTACGTACAACAACTAGACAGTTATACCGTGAGTACTTTCACGGCCGCTTTTTCGACCGTCGTCACGCAACCATACTATCTTTAATCGTGCCGGAAACCATCGTAAATTCATAACCACGAATTAAGAAATCTTTAATCGTGATTTTAGATAATGATATACGATAATAGTATTGTTATGATTATTTATTAAATAATACATTGTTTTAGATTTTGAGTGGAGTGAGGAATGTATTGGTTTTACAATGATGTTTATTTGTTGTTTTTTTTTTTATGTGAACACTTTTTCTACCAGAAAGCATACTCCGATTATCAAATATTGATGTATAGCACCTTTTCTAAAAGCAAATGTTCTCTGGGTATAGATGTCATTTTTTGAAATTCTCATTAATTTTTGAGTATGTGAGGAAAACCTCGGTCTTGTCTATTTAAGGTCTAATAGATATTAAAGAACTTATTTTCGATAAAATTAACTCGGGTTTTTAAAACTGTATCAAAAATGTCTGTGACAATTACTAGAACGTCACTTTAACCACTGGCTGTTTTCCGTATTTAGACACCGGACTATTACGGTATCATTGTATCAAATATGACATTGAATTGTATTTTCGGAAAAAAAAAAACGGACATATTTCGTACGATGTGTGGGCCACTGTTTTAGGTGAGAAGTTGGAAAAGTAGAGAGGAATTTAATGTATATATATATACATAACGATTAATCATTGCTAATAAAAAATGATTCTGAGCGGAATTCGATTATACATGTTTTGAAAGACCGTAATATTTACGACTTAAAAATAATACATTTCGTACATTTTCCCGTTTTTCCTATGTTTATTCCCGGTTTTTTCCATTTATTATAAAAACTCATAGGAAAATCAAAAATTAACCTGTCTAAAATATTACCCCAGTAGGATTTCTTTTCCGAAAAAGTGCTACACTTGAAAATCGAAGCAAAATTTCTGGTGGAAAAGTTGTTCACAGAAAAAAAAAATCATTGTAAAACCAATATATTTCTCCCTTTAGTTAGAATTTAAAACTACCTATTGTTATCTGATATTCCAGATGGGGGGACGGAAGCCCCCTCCTCCTTGAGACGGCACTGGGGGGTTAGGTATGGAATTTTATTTTTACATTTTTCGAAGGACAGTCAATATTGTAGTGCTGTGTTTTCTTGAATTCTACACTAATTTAGTATTTGTATATATAACATAATATTAGATTAGGCAGGTACTTATTATAGAGCAGCGGTTCTCAACCTGGGATGTACGCCCCTCTAAGAAGGTGTGACAAAATGTCAAGGGAGGCGTGAATGTTTTTAAAAAGCAGCGAAACATGAAAACGTAACTTTTGATTATTTACGTTTAATCGAGACACTATTATGTTTATTATTATTTATTAATACATTATCTTTAATAATTCATATTGTCGCTTATTTAGTCGTATTGCAGTTTTCATGCCGTGCCTTACTTTCACTTTAGTTTGAAATTTCGTTTTTAATATTATTGTTGGCAGCGTAGTTATTTTATTGAATATTTTAATTAAAAATGTCTAATTCCAAATACAGATTGTGACCTGGACGTGAGATGCGCACTACCACAGTTATTGCCAAATATTAAAACATTGATTGAAATTAAGCAGTGCCAACCTTCTCATTAATTTGTATCTACCTAATAATAATAAATATAAAATTTAATATTTAAGAAAGATAATTATAATATTATTTGTTTTTTATAAATTTAAATTATAATAATATTTTTTTTCCTAACAAATAAATTCATTAAATACTTAAAAAACTTCATTGATTTTCATTTATATATTAATCCAATAACCAACATTAAAGGCATGTATTAAAATAGAGAAATTTATACATATATTAAACATAATTCAATCTTATTATGGTTAGGGGGGCGTGAAATCATAAAATAGTATGAAAAGAGGCATTTGCCTCAAAAGATTGAGAACCCTTGCTATAGAGGATTGGCGGTCAGATAAGGCATAACGGTGTTTAGCGTCAAGTATGTGTCGCAAACCCGTTTCCATCATATCGCGTAAAATATTCTGCGTTTTCATCAAAAACGCCGCCGCTATCGCGTACACTTACAGAAACGAAACAATTGATTAATGTAATATAACCTTGCGTTTTTGTTTTTCAGTTACATATCGTAAAATGATTTAAGTTATCGCCACTCGTTAATAATATACCTGCTGCGTTTATATACGTGCCTATCTAGGACCTACCTGGTACTTACTAATCTACCTATTTGTTGTAGGTATATCAATATTATTTATTGTTTGTAAAAATAATTTTTTCCTAACAAATCGACGGACGATTTACAGGATCGAAAAGAGTTTAGCAATTGAACAGCGAATATCGCATATTATGCAAATTATCGAAATATCTCGTAAAATTAATCTGCAAATCCGATCAGCACATCGCCGAATAAAGTTTTGAAGATATTCGAGAGCATAAAAAGAATCTTAAAATAGACTCAAATTTAGAAAAAGAACAATTTGGTTTTAGAAAAAATATAGGGACAAGAGAAACAATTTTAATATTGAGAAAAGCAAATATGAAGAAATAAAGTACCTTCATTGCTTTCATCGATATTGAAAAGGATTTTGACAATGTAAACTAAAACAAAATGTTTGATATTTTAAAAAAGCTTTAGGAATAAAATACAATGGCATGGGAGTTATATATATGGCGACCAGATAAAAAAATTCAAAAAAGTACATTTTAAAATTTAAATTCTCCATTATAAAAAAACCCTGTCCTTGAAAAAAATTGCCAATGTGTATACTTTTCTATCCATTTTACCCATAACTCATCTTCATCTATATACTTTCTTTTTTTTAACCTGATTACACTATTATTATTTTTTCTATTATCAACTATAAAAACTAGACAAACTATAACTGGTGATTATGATGTTAACAACATTTTTTTTTTTGCCAAACAGTGGTTTTCCAGCTGTCGCTATCGTTGTCACTTACAGACGTTTGGAATGCATTAGGTCGAACCATAAAATATTATTAAAATATAAATAAACAATCAAATTTTACAAAATCATAAACATGTATTAGCCTATAATATTTTCAAAAAAAAAGTAAAATTGTATGTACTTAACATTATTGTTAAGGACATAGGACAATGCATTGAAAAAGAGTACTGTCTTATGAAAAATAATACGTCTGGTCACCACAGTTATATACAACCTATATAAAACTAAATGATCCTAATTAAATTGGATGGAGTAAAAAAAGTACCTAGCAAGTATTGGTAAAGGTGTAAGGCAAGGATGCATTTTACGTCCTAGCCTATTTAATATGTATATTGAAGAAGCTTTAGAAGAAGTAAAAGGTAAAATATAAGTAGGAGTTAGGAGCAGGTGGGGTAAATGTAATTACACTTTGATTCGCGGATGATATAGCGTTTTGCACCACGAAGGAAAAAGACTTGCGAATTCTACACTTGATAAAACAGAAGAAATCTTAAGGAATTATGAAATTAAATTAAATTGAAATAAAATACCATAATAATGTCATGAATTAAATAACAAAATGGCCAAACATCAGTATTTATAGAGAACAAGTAGAAATAAGGCCACAGTTACTTTGGCGGTAAAAATAGTAAAATAACAGAGTAATTACGATTTCTAGTAGAAGCAAGTTAGATATAATATTAATAAGATTGCAGTATTGTACAAATAAAAAGAGCTTGTTAAAAAAAAAAAAAACCCTAATCACAAGTCCACAAACCGAATTACAAACGGTCGTTTCAGAAACACTACAGTACGAATAAAATAATATGTAGATTTTATAGGACATACCTAGGTAATGTAGATGGATATCGACG